AGTAGGAAAAAATAGTAGCTGACACAGGCAGGAAAAAATGTCCCTCACATCACACCAAATAATAATTCTTGGTGCACTAATCTTTACCATCTCACTAGAAAAGAAACATCAAGCTAAATGCATGACTAGCAGTACAAGGGACATATGTTTACAGGCAGAAGCAAGGGAGAGAAGAAAGATGAGACAAGGCAGGAGCCTGCCCTTTATCAACCAGAAAACAGTGGAGCCCAACTATAGCTCTGAAACTAAGAAATCAGCAAAAAGTGAGTGTCSTTCTGATTCTTGTAATCCCTCTGCYTTACATCCTAACCTGGGCCGYTGACACTGTAAATGAACCACTCACTGTCCAGCAGAGGGCTTCTGCCTCCAGCCCACCACTGCCCTGTCCTCGCAGCTTGGGCAGCAACCCAAATTCCTCATGCCAAAATTAGGACGCTTGAGGCCAGTAGCCAGCATCTCTTTCACCCCCGCTTCTTCATGGCTGATAGATTCAGGCCTCATCCCTCTCCCCCACCATCCATTTCTGCCCAGCGATTCTTCCCTCCTGCAGTCCATCTCTCACCACTCGCACAATTCCTCTGTGCTCTGGAACCAGTCTCTTGTCAAGGAAATCCCTGTATYGTCAGAGTTTACCACTTGGTGTATGCTTGGTGTATACTGTCCCACAACTTTGATCTATGCTCATGGCATACACATATACGCACACATGGGAATTTTCTCAATTTATAAAACTGGGATCACATATTGCATGCACTTTATTCTAAAACTCACTCTTTTCACTTGATGAGTCATGGTTGTCTTTCCAGACTAACACATGGATCAAACTCATTCTTTCTAATAACTGCATACATCATCCATAATATGTTAATATACATGCATCATAATTTAGTCACTCATTCCCCTATGGATGAACATTCACTTTGCTTCCAGTTTTAGGAAAGTTCTGAAAACAAGAAGAGCAAGGTCTATCCATACTTTCCAAGCATATGTGCTTTTGAGTTACGTCTCTGCCAGTGCAACCAATCTATCTGCATATACCTGGACCTTTTCTTCCAGGACTCAAGCTTCTGAAAAGCTTGTGTGCTCCTGCAGCAACCCCTTTCTTTGTACAGTGCTTATTATTTGCCATGTATTGTGCACTGAATAGGTTTTCTAACATTTATTGAATTGACCCAAAAGTTAACCAAATAGAGACCATCTGGAAGAATGTACAGGACACGCAGTTGGCCATTATTTACTCTGATAAATTGTTAAGGCATAAAAATAGGAAACTTTCCTTTTTTTAGATACACATGACAGTAGGGTGTATTTTACATATTATACATACATGGGGTAACCGTCATAGGTATACCTATACATAGATTCCAAGGCCTATTCTCAATATTCTGATTTGGTAGCTCTGAAGTAGAGTCTCGTTATCAGTATGTTTGATAAATTCTCAAGATGATTCTTATAATCCTGAAATTTTGGGGTACCACTCTAGTCCAATGATCCTTAGAATTGCTCAGAAAGCTTTTCACATAAGGATTTGGAGGTCCTCCCCCTTCAGAGTTTATGACCTGGAAGGAGACTTGGGAATCTTCATTTTTAAAGGACTTCCTGGACAACTCTCCCCAGGTATACGAACGCTGTTCTAAGTGTGATAATTTCCTCTAACAACTCAAAAATTAAGATATGATTAATTCATTTTGGTCTTTTTAAATATTATTTTCTATTTGTAGTTGGACACAATACCTTTATTTTAATGTGGTGCTAAGGATTGAACCCAGGGCCTCGCACAAGCTCTACCACTGAGCCACAACCCCAGCCCCTCATTTTGGTCTTTAATGGTAAAAAATTCATYACCAAGTTGGAGGTCTTTGATGAGAATATTTGATTAGAGCATAGATGGGAATGTCACACCTTGCCCCATCCTGGAATTAAAAAATAAAAACTTTTTATTGTTAGTTTGAATAGTGAACTGTATTTTAATACTCTATGCTTGTTGTCTAAAGAACAGATTAATAAAAAAAAACATTTTTCTAAAATTTTCTTAATAAAGTTGCTTTTCTTATACAATCCAACTGGTTTCAATGTTTTCCATTTTTTAAAAAACTGTTTTGCTCCTCCCATAACCTACAAGCCTAGTCATTATAAATAAGCAGAGATTGATTTTTTAAGTCAGTGGGATTTATCTTTCCAGGAGTCTAAAGACCTTCCTATTTATAAGTGCCATATTTAAGTAGGCACATTAACTTTCTGATCCTAAAGGTTTATCTCTACTTTCAGGAGTATAGGCAAGAGCATAGACACTGAACTGATAAACCAGTGAAGCTCAGCTATGACACCTTATAAAAAATAAGTGACAAAAAAGACATTATTCTAGGTAAACTCAAGTTAGTAGCTACTCTGCTAAGCCCTCCATTATACATTTAGAATTTCTTTCCAAATTCATATAAATAAAGTACTTCCTAAAAAAAAAAAAAAAAAACATAAGAAAAGTCTTTGAGGGGCTGGGGCTGGGGATGTGGCTCAAGAGGTAGCGCGCTTGCCTGGCATGCGAGCGGCCCGGGTTCGATCCCCAGCACCACATACAAAACAAAGATGTTGTGTCCGCCGAGAACTAAAAAATAAGTATTAAAAAAAAAAAAAAAAACACTAAAAAAAAAAAAAAAGAAAAGTCTTTGATGATAACTAGGAATTTCTGGTCCTCAAAACTGAAACAGGCAGAAATGAACGGGAATGTCAGAATGACAATGTCAACACCAGCAGCCTCTTCCCTTCWCTTTGTTACCACCCATTACCCATTAAGGTGTTCCTAAATGTGCTGGGCTTCCAAGTTACTTTCAAGGCTATTTCCTTTAAATCCCACATATGGGCTACTTTTTTCTCTCTCCTTAGCAAATCAATGATTGTAGTGTCTGTGATACTATTCAAAGGACTAAGAATAGAGAGAGCAAAACAGGGTCTGTCAGAGTCTAAAAGAACTGAGTGGAAATCAGGATCTGCCACTTACCAACTGTTCAAACTCAGGCAAGTTACATAATCTCTCAAAATCTCAATTCCTTCATCTGTAAAATGGGGAGATAAGACCGTATCCACTTGCTGGAGTTGTGGTGAGGATTAAGCAACACAACACTTGAAAAGTGTCTGAYGAGGGGCTGGGTTGTGGCTCAGCGGTAGAGTGCTCRCCTCGCAGACACTTTTCTTTTATATAAAAGAAAAGTGTCTGACATATAATAAGCATTCATTAACTGATATTTATTATTATTCTCTCCCTTGAGACCCCCAAAGATAAGTTAGACTTTAAACTGCCAAATTCAAGGTAACCAACATGGGACTGAAGGGCAAAAGGACAGCTGAGTGAAAAGTCTTTGATTCCAAATCATCCTGCTTGGAAAATAGGTTCAAGAAGAGATCTTTAAGAAATCAGCCCCAATTCAGAGCTTGGTCATTTTTCATTTCCTATTCCCAGATAAAAGGAAGAGCCAGAAACTAAGTGAAACTGATGGCATCACCTAATAGACATGCTGCTTTTCAGGACACACCAAGGTTCCCAAGCTCCTGTGGCATACAAGGTTCCGTACTAAGAGTTTTGGTGGTAGAAAACTGAATGGGCAATGGACTCTGACCCCAGAGAGTTTTACAACTTATGACAGATATTCTCGACATGTTCTTTGTTGTATTTAGGACAGAGGTCAGAACCAAAAGTCTGGGTCTTAGAACACAGTAAAGAGATTTTATACCTGAGTCCCTTGGGCATTCAGAAGATCCCATTCAGACTCATTGAGTCCCCTGTAATCATATGTGTCTCATCCTTTTTCAAAAAATTTCTCTAATATACACAAATTATTGGGCATGATTAGGTAGTAGTATCTCTGGGCCTCATGTCACCTCGGTAGCTTAATGTCTACAAGGTAAATTCTTCATTGTCCCCAGTCCTTACCATCCCATTTCCAGGTATGGAATCAACCAGAGATCAACGAAGACCAGATTCCTTTAAAAAGGAGTGAAAACATTCTGGATAGAGGTTACAGTGTTTGTTATAATCTTCTGAAAAGCAGCACTTAATTATTCAACACGTTATTAAATTCCCAACCAACCCACCCCCACCCTACCCCAAGCAGGATTCAAGCTTCAGAGTTCAAAAAACAAATCTGCAACTCCTCAWACAAGTTGCTTTCAGGGTATCAAAAGGGGTGGGACTTATTGCTTTGAAAATACACTTTCTAAAAATAATCAATATTTTCCTTAAATGCTTATGGCAAAGCAACCAAGACACTTCATTTTAATTGCTCACAAGCTGTACAATGACTTGATCTCTTTAATATTTCACTCATAGTAGCAGCCACTGAGCTATGACTAACTCTCTCTCTCCCAGCATCATCGCTTGCTCCAGATGGCAAGAAATACATTCCCTTCACTCTTGCCTGAAAAGCAATTCTGATTTATTTTTTCCTTCCGCCCATTTCACCTGCAGTAATTGTTTTACTCCAGAAAAAGACGTGTGGGGAGAGAGAGGAAGGGGAGATTAACTCAAGGGGGAGTACAGGTAGGGGAATTTACTTTTTTTTTTTTTTTAATGGAGTGTAAATACTGCAGCTTTAAATCTTGCTGCATCAAGCCCTGGATTCCTTCCATAAACGAGCTGCAAAATGGTAACAAGAAAGAAGGAAAAAAAAATCAGCTCTTCCCCCTCCCGCCSGCCCTCCGCAGCTCCCCACCGGGCGGGCGGCGGCCCATCCCCCGCCCTCGCAGCCCGGACAGCGGCCGGCACAGGTGGGCTGGGCACCGACCCGGCCCTCGGGTGTCGCCCACATCCGGGGATCAAGGTCAAGGGCGAGTGCTTCCTCCGCTGCCACCGTCCAGCGCCCGCGATCGGCTGCCAAAGTTTCGGGCCGGGCTGGGGCGGGCGCGGCTCTCGCAGCCCCCGGCTCCGCGCACCTGCCCGGCCCGCCCTGGTCGGGGCCGGCGCCCGGCCCGCCGCGGTGCCCACCTGATCCCCACCTGGTCCCACTCACCTCTCGCGGACATGGTTCAGGCAGCCGGAGCCGAGGCGGGAGGCAGAGCCGAAGCCCGCAGGGCGTGGGGAGGAAAATGCCCCTCCGCGCACCGCGGCGCACAGCTCCCGCCGCCCCGGGCGCCTCCGCTGGCCGCGCGGGGACGCCTCCCGCAGGACACCTGCCCGGCGCGGCGCGGCGCGGCCAGCAGGCGGGGACGCAGCGGCCGCGGGGACCCGCCGGGCGCGGCGGCGTTGACAGCTAGCGGCCAGCTGGGCGGGGCCGCCGGCCGGGCCCACCCGGGTCCAGCCGCTGCTGGGGACGCGCCGCCCGCTCTGCTGCGGCGCCAGGCGGAGCTTTGTCCCTGAGCGAGGTGGGGCGTGCGATCCGGGTCTGCGTCCTGCCCTCTCCCGACCTGGGTCCTCGATAATAATAAGATCGCTTTATTAATGGCTTTCCAACTTCCTGCCTCGGTCCCAGGGAAGGAATGCGAGAAAAAGCCGTGCCTTCCCGTGAGCCAGGGCCTTGACCCGAGGGGGAAGACCACGGTCGCCTGCTGGCAGTCCACACGCGGGGCGCCCTGTGACTCCCTTCGAAGCCAGCCCAGCTCTAGGAGAGCTTGGATCCTGGAAGGAAGCCCTGGGGCGCAGGGACCTTCCACCTAGCGCCAGGTCTCAGCTCTTGAATCAATAGGCTCCCGGAGGGTCGGGACTGCACTGGACTGGAGAAGAGGGTGAACACTGACAAATCCACTCTTCTACATAGCAGGGTACAAATGAGAAAATACAAGAAAAACTCCTACCCCTGCAAGTTTATCCACTAGAGCTTGATACTAGTAGGCAACGTAAGAAAAACCACCTAACCCAGAGTTCTGAAATAAAAAGGCGGCCTCTCACAACTCACTTTTCTGTCCTCTGCTCCCCTGTAACTCACAGCAGGTGGTCTTGTTGGTTGCAATGTAGGCATCTCCCAAAGCTTTCCTGATAAGTGTAATAGATCTGGGAATTCAGAAAATATCCAAAGAACAGATCAACATAATTCACATAATCCTCCTAGGAAAAATAATTGGTGGATAATTAAGCGCTGCTGAAGAAAGCCCCACCAAATGATGAGGTGTGGAAGGAAATGCTGGGAAGAAAAACACCAGGAAAGTAATGAGAAAAGCAGTTTTCAAATTCAAATGCCAACTACTAAAATCAGCTCTTGTCATTTATCCATCTTGACATCCCTTTCCTTATTTTAGACAGGAAATTCACCAATAAATCATAACTCAGATGATACAATTTCAAACAACTTCTCTTGGCCACCACCCTGTTCACTATGAATTCTCCCTCAAAGGATGATTACAGGGATAGATTAGGTGGTCTACCAGCATGGATCCTTCACCCCTTTCCGCCTCATTCTGCTTATTGCCTGGAGAAGACTTTTCCTATTTATAACAGGACATGTTCCTGCTCCAGAACCTCCAGTGGGTCCCTACAGATCTCCAAAAAAAAAGCCTCAATGTTTCAAATTGTCTTCATCCAGGCAATTAATTAATCCAACAACATTTTACTGAACATAGGCTATATAACAGTCTCTATGGAAGGTAGCAGTGTTATAATAGTGAACAAGACGGATGTGACCCGTGCCCATGTACTGAAACATTAAGGTTCTCTACTTACTGTCTGTGCACTCYTGCCTTCCCAGTGTCATCTCTAACTGCTCCCCTAAGCAAACATGAATTTACATGGACTATTTTCTGTTTCTCAATAATGTCACGTGCTTTTTGCCTCCTGTCCTTGTTCATTCTCATTATTCTTTGCAAATGCCTCCTCCCCACCCAAATTAACTCATGTACCATATCTTTATGAAATATTCTCTGGCTACTTGAATTCATACTGATCTTGTTTTTCTCAATACCTTCTGTAGCAAGTATTTTCAGAACCACCTATTTTTACATAATACATTGCAGAGCATATATTATATTAGGCAACATACTGGGACAGAGAGAGGTTCTAGAGTTGTGTGTCCTTCTACCTTTATCCTTGTAATTAATATCCATTCATTTTCTCTCTCTCTGATATAATATTTCTGTCCTTAAAATCTCATACTGGAAGTACAGATATGGTACAAATAGCTCTGACTCTTGTCCTTAAAATGCCTAAAATAGATTGCACAGATGATTATAAAATATATTCCTACATATTAGTCTGAAATAAGGCACCTTATACAATATTTTTTAGGCACAGAGCAATTGTAGCCAGCCTTCCCTATATCTTTAGGTTCCAATCTGTGCATTCAACCAACTTTGGGTTGAAATATTCAAATAAAATAATGTGTCAAATAAAAAACATGTAGTAAACATGCACAACCTTTTTCTTGTCATCATCCCCTACATAATCTAGTATAATAACTATTTCTTTTGAATTAGGTATTATAAATAATCTAGAGATGATTTAAAGTACACAGAAGGCAATGTGTAGGTTATATGCAAATACTACATCTGTTTATTGATTGATTGATTGATTRATTGAGGTACTGAGGATTGAACCCAGGACTTTACACCTACTAGGCAAGCACTCTACCACTGAGCTTCATTCCCAGCCCTCCTTTGTTTTACTTTGAGACAGTTTCACTAAGTTGCCCAGGTAGGCCTTAAACTTGCCTCTGCCTTAGCCTGCCAAGTAATTGGGTTTACAGGCTTGGGTCACCATACCCAGTCACTGTGCCATTTTATATAAGGAACTTAAGCATCCACCTTCAAGGGTCCTGGAAACAATCCCCCATGGATACTGACAGACAACTGTCCTCAGTACCTGTTTGACTAGTAGGTTGGAAAATGATAGATTTATTATCAAAGATCGTCTTTGGCTATAAAAGGATTTTCTTAAGAACTTAGATTCAGTCTTCCTCAGATTAAGTAGCAATTTAGATTTTAAAATGTATATGAATGGCTTATATTTTGAAGATGATACATTGAGATGCATTTTTAGGGTCAATTGTATAAATCCAGAATATCTTTCTATAATTTTAGAAGTCTGAAACTAATTCTTCCAACCATATAGCAACCAAGTTTCCTGATAGTATCTTGAAGCTCCTAACAATTATCTCATCTGAAATAACAGAATTCTTTAGAAATCATTGTAAAAAACCTGCAAAGTGCAAGATATTTTTTAAGAAATATCAAGTGCCACTTTTATTTTTTTTTAATTTTTGGTACCAGGGATTGAACCCAGGGGCGCTTAACCCCTGAGCCACATCCTCAGACATCGTTATATTATATTTAGAGACAAGGTCTCACTAAGTTGCTTAGGGCCTTGCTCAGTTGCTAAGGCTGGCTTTGAACTTGCAATCTTCCTGCCAYAGCTTCTCAAGCCGCTGAGATTTCAGGAATGTTCCCTGCAATAGGCTTAAGTGCCACTTTTAAAAAAAAAATTATTAGTTATTGATGGACATATATTTATTTATTTATATGTGGTGCAGGGAATCAAACCCAGTTCCTCACACATGCTAGGCAAGCACTCTACCACTGAGCCACAACCCCAGCCCTTAAGTGCCACTTTTTAAGGTAAGAAAATACAGTACAGTCTATACTGTAAACTATAAAGAAGAATTCATATAAACCCAAAGGAAAAAACATTCTAATCTGTGTCTGAAAAAAAGCTACATTACTTTTTGACTCTTACTAAAAATACTCTTTCAACTTTGAATAGAAAAGAGTCAGTGCAGGTTATCCATTTTTTCTGTCTTCATTGATTTTTTAAAAATGATTGAGTATTGATTCTTACTCCCACAGCTCTCCAGCTGTTGACTCTCCATCACTTCTCATTTTTAATCTAAACTTTTCACAAATAGCATAAGAAAGCTCTATTTTCTGCATAACTTCAAGTAATAAAAAAGCAGACTGAGCTATGTAATAATTTTTTATCAAATACCTTTATAATACCTGCTATGTACTAGGCAATGAGGAAGCAAACAAGCAGAAAGGAAGATTGCAGAAAATATACAAGGTACAGACACCAAACCTGAAGTTCTTCATTGGCTCAGGTCCCTAATGGGGATGAAAATGACCCAGGGTAGTAGCATCTGATTCCCAAAAGAAGCAAGCCAAAATTCCATTTTATAGCACCAATATTGACTGCCAGGATTCCACATTAAGATCAATCAAAAATGAGGTTATAATCAAAGATCACCAAATACACAAGAAAATAAACCATTCTAGGTGAAAACCAGAAGCAACATCAAAGAGCAGATAAGATACTAATATTTCAGATATTGTAATTCATATATAACAAATATGAAAGAGAGAAGACATATGAAGTAACAAAGGATACATATCACAAAACTGAGCCAATAAGAGATTATCAAAAATGAATAAGCAAATTCCAAAATGAAACAAATAGAAATTTTAAAAATATTGATAAAATTTTAAAAGTCATTGGATAGATAAAGCAGAAAAATAGAACTAAAGAAAGAAGTAGTGAACTGGAAGGTAGTTTTTTTTAATTATTAGAAAATTGACTCAGTAATCAGGGGATGGATAATACAAAAGAGAGGTAAAGAGAGTTGGAGGATAGAATGAGAATGGGCAAATTATTAATGTATAAATAAAAGCAATAAGAAGAGARTAAAAACATGGAAGAAAGACATTTGAAGAAAAACAGCTGATAATATTACCTATAGAAATAGATAAAGAAAATATAATATGTATCAAGTAAATGAGTTAAAACAAATCCAGGGATATACACATTATATCAAAACTCAACACAAGAGTCAGGTCCAGAGGTRCATGCCTATAGTCCAGCAACTCTGAAGCTGAGGCAGGAGATTTGCAAGTTCAAAGCCAGCTTCAACAATTAGTGAGGCACTAAGCAACTTAGCAAGACCCTATTTGTTATGGKTTGGATGTGAGGTTTGCCCAAAAGCTGTAAGACAGTGCAAGAAGGTTCTCAGAGGAAAAATGATCGGGTTGTAAAAGTCTTAAGCAATCAGTGATTTAACCCCTCATAGGGACTAATTGAGTGGTAACTGAAGTGGTAGGGTATGGTTGGAAGAAGTGTGGATTGGGGAGTGGCTTTGGGTATATATTTGTATCTGGCAAGTGAACTCTCTCTCTGCTCCCTGATGATATGAGCTGCTTCCCTCTGCCACATTCTTCTGCCATGATATTCAGCTTCACCTAGAGCCCCAATCCCCAAAGA